CTTCCATTTACGGTTACGAGAAGGCAGTTGTGGAGTACAGCATGCACCGACAACCAGCTTCCATACACTCTCCTTCAGTGGATGCAGTTATGATTACAAAAGCAGATCTTGAAGGTTATCATAGTACTTTTGATAACAATACCAGTGATAAGGAGCTTGTAATCCTTCCAAGAATGGTGAGTTCCAGCCCAATGATAGCAAGATTGTCGTGCCTTTTATCATCATTCAAAGTCTCTGGTGTTTTTGGACCTGTAAGTGGGAGGCTTCACGAAGCACATGCTTGCTGAGTCTGCTGCTCCATGAAAACATTCGTTGTTGTTGTTGTTGCTTGTACATAAAAATAGAAAATAAGTATAGATTGTAGTGGTCTACGAAAGATCTATGTAAGTGTGTATGTCAGAAACAGAAGGAAAAACTATAAAACACAGAAAGCCAGAAGACTTCTTCAATGATAATCGATATATTTAGCGTATATTCAATTATACAGTCAGCTTTGCTGTTTTATATACCCATGTTTGAATTGTGCAAAGAGTTTCCATTTTTGAAAAAGCATGTAAATTACATGTTTCGTGGGCATGGACTAAGAAATGAGAGATTTTAGCAGCTTCAGGTGTCCTGATTAGCCTGGTAAGAAGTAGCACACTCGATACCTCCCAGTTTCCATGGGGTGACTAATGCTCTTGTTGTTTAGCTGAAACTGTTCGGTGAAAGCAACTCGGCACTTAGGTCATCTCTTCTTGCCTGTATACCAAAACAGCTTTTCGAAGGGGTGAGCAGTATAGCATTATAAAGTACCTTGTAAGACTTCTTCAACGATATATGCATAGCATATGTTCAATTATATAATCAGCTATGATGTCTTATATACACATGTTTACATCGTGCAAAAACTTTTCATCTGTGAAAAAGCAGATGCTTTGCATGTTTTTGTGGACATGGAACAAGAAAATGAAAGATTATACAGTTTTCAGGTGTCCTGATTAGCCTGGTAAGAAGTAGCATACTTGATACTTCCCTGTTTTTATTGCTTTTTGTTGTTTAGCTGAAACTGTTCAGTGAAAGCAACTCTGCACTTTGGTCATCTGGATTTTCCAAATGGGTGAGAAATGTTGCATTATACAGTACCTTGTAAGCAGGGACGGAGCTCCTTATGGCCAAGGGGCCGCCCTTATTAAAATTTATATATTTGATATAATTTTAGTTTAATAGTATTTTGATTTATGTAAAAATAAATATTTAAATTTAAAAAATATAAAAATTTATTAAATATTTAATCAAGTGAGGGTTGAACTAAAGAATAATAAGTTTGTATTCTAAATTTTTGGTCTAATTACAATTTAAGTCATTATAAGTTTAAATATTAGACAAATTAGAAGTTGTCTTTAGAGTTTTGAGTTTTGAGTTTTTTTTATTTATTTAGGGTGAATACAAGGTAATATTTGTACAAATACTTTCAATTATTTGACAATGAACGCTCATACCCCTACATATATGCTTGAACTCAACAATCCGTTAATCACTAAGGTTGTTTAGTTCATGTTAAATTTCAAGTTTAAATACCTAATACGTCTTTATATTTTTCTTAAATAATCTAATATTTCGGTTCATGCTAATATTTAATTCTCACTCGTTTCTGTTTGAAAGTTGCCAAACCGTCTCTCATTTTGATGTGATGTCCATGAAACAAAGGGAAAGAAGGAAACTTCATGAAGGTGAGATGGAAGTATGATTAGTCAATGCTTTTGTTTGTCACCTGTTCCCCAACAAGAAGAATGTGGCAACTACTATACAGATGAGAAAGGATACAAACAAATCTTTATCAAAGGAAGCTACTCCCTGCAGGTACACTACAAAATTTGATAATTCTTCATTGTCTACCATCCCAATATTACCATCTCTTCATTAATTAGGACAGTTGGCTACAATTCTTTGCCTGGTATTTTGTTTATACATGTACTGACAACTTTTTAAACACTATTACTCAGAGATTTAAATAGCGGTTCGTGACCACGATAGCGCCCGTGATAATAACAATAGCAGTGCCCTCCGAAAACGCTATTATTTGATTGCGACACCCGTAATCTCCGCAATAGCGTTCGCTATGCCCGTAATACAGTGATAATAATACTATCCGAAAACACGACCGCGATTTGAATCCTTACTATTACTTGGTGCATGCATTTTCAAACATCAGAATGACATAAGCTGCCAAATTTTGTACATAGTAATTGCATCTATCATAACCTTATCTTCACCCCACAATGTACTTTCAGAAAGAAAATGGCATTTAAATAATCCTTTAAAAAGCAGCATTGGCCTCATGGGGCTAGTATGGCCATGGTGGTGGGTGTAGAGAATCCAAAAAGGCAGAATTTGCCATGTTGTGATATTCCTTGTTGCATTATCCACAAATTCTACCTGCAACTTCTTTATGGGACCAAATCTCTGCAAACCCAGAAACCCTAAACCCCTTTTTGTAAATAATATAAAATTAATTACAAAGGGGAGATGGAGTTGTATACAGAAAGATGCCTGGTTCAAAAGTTGACATTCTGTTGGAACAGATAGATGGGGTAGCATATATGTCCATATAATAATGTATAATAGCAATAGATATAGAAGATATAGTACAGTACAGTGTGTGTGTATATATGACAAGAAAATAGAATCTTGCCAATAACATATTAGAGTCATTTCAATGCTTAAAGGTTATTCTTGTCTCTCTGCTCATTCCCTTGTATTCCATGCTTTATTCCCTTTCAGAAACTACTACGAAGCTGCATGCCTCACCCTCCATTTGCAGTTTTTAGCTTTATTTCATGCATGTCCCATGAAAGGAAATATAGTAATATATATGCACGTTACCTCTCCTCCCCTCTCTATCTATAAGTATATTTTATTGGTCCGATATCTCTGGTGTCCATATTATATGAGTTCTGATTATATCTTAAACTGAATTAAATCAAATTCTTAAATGAGAAACAACGACATCAAATTTAAAAAATAGACAGATATTTTAGAATGTGTTTTATGCTGTAATATTCTAATGAAAGATTCGAAGATTCCAATAAGAGAGAAGATTAAAGAATTTAATGATACCCCACATTCTCTCTTATCTCTCTAAAATCCAGAGAACCAAACAAATCAACTCCTTTATTACGAGTATGACAAGCGCTTGCCAAAGAAAAAACCAATGGATAAGACAGTAAACATGCAAGTAAACTTCATCGTGGCAACGTCCCATTTGTCACCTCAAAATACGTCTCTTGATTTAGAATGAGTGTTGGATGAGTCAAATAATTTTTTTTTATTTGTTTTATATCCGAGGTTCGGATTTACTCAAAACCAGGGTAAAGTACATCTACTTTTCAATTGGCAAAAACATCAGTACCAACACAATGCACCAAAGGAAATTTGTCACTAAAAGCAAATTGCAAAGGATTAAAAAGATACAGGAAACAAAAGAAAATACTTGACCTGATAAAAAATCAATTGCACCAACTTTCTTCGTGCTCATTAGCAATAGTAGTTTTCTTTCCATTTTCTTTTGACATTGATTTGGTGAGCATATATAATGGTGTAGTTGCAGAGCTGTCCCCCTTAGATGATATTGTAGGGACAAAGCAATGGAGGGAAACTGATTTTACTTCAAAGAAGGGATTTGACCAGGGAAATATATATATACGTATGATGAAAAGTTGTCATGGTCATGATCTATAACTCCTAATTATTAAGGACTAATTCTCCTTTCCTTTAGGGTATTTTTGCAGATAAATATACATGGCCCGCAGACAACTCATGATCCTTACCTAGTTGAAATGTTGCATAACAATTGGCTAGCTCTAGCCTTGAAAATCATCCATGAAAAAAGAAGAATAGAAAAAGTGGCACATCAAAAACAAAAACAGTTCTGAAACAAATATTTTCATTTCTGTACATATTTTATTAGAAAACTGAGTAACAACACAACATAGATCAACCAGTATGTGTTGCAAATTTGCACAAACTCTTTGGTACTTTCTTTGTTTGAAAAAGAACATACGGAAAGAAATTGTACAGAGTCTTGAAACAATAAAATAATAAGAATAGACATACAAAGATGATGGCAAAATCTCGTTGATAGTGCGTTGAAATTTTTTTTTTCACGAAATAGTGGGATCGTCAGATTAATTGCTCAAGTGGTGTCCTCTACAGTACCGGGGGTAGGTCGCCATGCACGCCCGGCGACCTACCAGGTCGCCATGCACGCCCAGCGACCTGGTAGGTCGCCATGCATGCCCTGCGACCTACCAGCCAACGACCTCCATGCCCATGCACGCCCATCTCGCCAAAGGAGCACGCCCATCCATGCCCTGCTGCATGCTCGCCTGCTCGCGACCTTGCCGGGACTCCATGGCCCCGAGTGTCCCATGCATGAACCGTTCCTTGGTCGCCTCGAGTGCCCCATGCATGAACCGAGCCCCGAGTGCATGGCACGATCTCCCCATGCATGAATCCTTGGTCGCCCCGAGTGCATGGCGACCTCCTTGGTCGCCGGGCGTGCATGGCGACCTAGGAGGTCGCTGGGAGTGCATGGCGACCTATGGTTGGGTTGTGCATGTCCCATGCAGAGCAAGCCACGTCGTAGGTCGCCCGGAAGGCATGGCGACCTACGGCCACACTGTTGATTTCGCCTATTCAGCAAATATTGGGATAACGTTATTTCGTGAATTATTTATTTTGAGGGCATTATATCGTGAGTTTAGCCCAAAGATGATATTGTGTCATCATAATGGCGGTGATTTTCATGCAGGGAAGGGTATTTTTTTCCCTTTTCTGTATTTTCTCCTTCTTTTCCTTTTGTACTTTCTCTCTTTCCAACATGGACTGTTTAACAGTTAATTCATTTGAGACTTTGAAAGTCATATAAACCAGGCCCCTCTGGTCCTCCCCCATTAGAGTAAACAAAAAGAGGGGAAAAAACTATAGTAATAGATGGTTGGTTTTTCCTTTGGCCTTTATCCTTGAAAAGAACTTGACCAGAGCTAGGCTTCAGGTATACTAATAATGATGTCTGTAAGGAATTTCCTTTCTTTTGACAATTTTTTCTTTTTTTCTACCCATGATGATCCTGGTTGTCAGGGTCAGGCCAGAATGAAGAGTACTTCAACCATTCAGCTTCTTGTGGGTTTGTAATGGATGATCCCTGTTCCAAAAACAAACAACAACAAAGCCCATGTTCAGCAATGAAAAACACTACTTATAATTAGGATTTTAACCAAAACACAACAAAATGAAGAAGCTGCCTTCTTTTGTCTTCTCTCCAACTACACAATCAAGTTGGTTGTTGGTGTATCTATCTTATGCAACAAATGTGATAATAGGGTTTCCATGCATGTCGCTATACTTCCTTTCCCATGAACCCAACCAAAAGAATGTTATTCACTGACTAGCTTTTTCTTTGCTTTTTGGAACTTTCTTTTTCCCATGATGCTTAAAATAGCTTCAAAGGGGGGTAATTTCCAGGATTTTACAGCAACTTGTAAAGCAACTGTATGCAAATGAAAACCAAATGGGGTGTAGGGAAAGTAGTATAGGCTCTTTAGTTTTCAAATTACTTTTTCTTTTATATATATATTGTCCTAAAGAGAAATATAAAAGAAGATTATATAGAGTTTTCAGGGATTTGGCTTCATTTGAAATATTCATAGTTTCACATTCTAATATATTTGAGTATGGATGACTGATGAAAGAGTTTTATGTTTAATCACTTTTGGCTTAATTCATTGTTCTCCCTAAATTATACTCATTTTTCATTTTGGTATAAAAAGTTAACAATTTTTTTATGAGAATGTGTCACTTGACATGTTCATATTGAGTAACTTTTTTGAGAAAATTTGAACATAATGATAGTTTAAATGCCAAAGTGTGTAAAGAAAGTTAAGGTGTCAAAGTAGAAAACGGGTATATTTTAGGGCTGTATTATGAATTAAACCATTTTGAAAAGGCTGTGCACTCTTCTCGACAGAACTTTATTGTAGTATGATAGCTACGTGCATTTCTTTACAGGATGCTGAATGCCATGCTAAATCTATGGAAAAAAGAAAAAAGAGATGGAGAGAAAAGAAGAGAACTCTGGTTTCTCTCTCTTCTTTATATATATATATTCACTTCTTTTTATCCATTGTTTTTATCTACTATTCACTTAACTTTTTCTTTCTTTAGTCCATTGCTTGGTTGGTAAATTGGTAATATATGAGAAAGACAAAGCTCATAAGTTTCAGATCAGTCAAAAGTTCCTACTCACTTCTTTATTATCTGATGATGAAGTGCAACCCATTATCAGTTCCTCCAAGCCTGATGCAGACCTTCCTCCCAGTTATAATGTTGCTGTTGTTGCTGCTGTTGTTGTTGATGCTGCTGCTGCTGCTGCTGCAGTTTTATTCATTCAAACAATGGATGAACAATAAGGGTTTAAAAAATAAAGAAGAAGATGATGAAGAAGAAGAAAGACAGTTCATTGTTCCCAGTTTAGCTGACAATAGAAAGTAAGCATGGCTACATTGAGTCTGCCACATTTACTACATTATTACCCACCAAAATCCCAGAGTTTCAGTTTCACGGTCGAGCTGCATGCATCCCATATATTCATTTATAATTAAACCATAAAAGGTGCTTCAGCTTAATGAGTACCGTACTTAATATGTAATGTGGCATGCATGCGTAAAACATTGTGTCATGTTGTTCCTACTGAGTACATAGAGATTATATGTATCATTTTTTCAAAACAAAGTACCACTCAAAGTTGTAATCACAGATTATGCATAAAAAATGTGAGCTTGTTTAAACTACTGGTGGGATGGAGGTTAATTGATTTGATAAACAATGTGATATGTGTATATACTATATAGATTACCTGGAAATTTTCGTTTTGAAGCATTATTCTGGAGACATGGAAGGAATCGTCGAGAATGATGGAGTTGTGGTGGAGGGGGTGGGGAGATAATGGTGGCGATGGGATGCGACGGCCTACTAATGTGGAAGGCCATCGTAGTCATCTGATGATGTGTGTGCTGTTGTTGTTGTTGGTGGTGGTGTAGATGTTGCTGATTATGATCATGAGCCATATGATGTGGCCGGAGATGCTCCGGTATCTCTTCACAAGCGCCTTGAGCCGGAGCTTCCCTTGCGGCCGAAGCTTCTCCGATCCCCACCTGGAATAGACACTCGAAACAAAAACCAAGCTGGATAAATTGCAGAAAATTACAAGGTACAAATGTCAATGCCATCAGTTATGCTTTTATTTCGTGGTGGTTGATGAATGTCAAAAGAAGGGGAATAAAGCACAATGTATGAAACAAAAATGTCGAAGCTTTTTCTAAATGGGGTGAAACCGAAATGATCGGATTTTAACTGTTGGATATCCATGGCAACACAGCGCCATAACTCGATAAAGCAGCCGTGACCCCGGCAGTAGAACCGGCGACTTCATCTCTAAGATGGATTATTTCCTTTGATAAAGAACAGCTCCCACTGCCACTATCTCTTCGGCTATTCGGATCATTTGCAATGGCATTGGTTGCTTCGCTAGTCGTCGTCGTCGTCGCAGTTCTATCCGACCAGTTGCACTGCCTCGTTGAGTTGATAAAATATCTTCGACACAACGAGCTCTCCTTCTTTCTCTTCTTCGTTCTGACCCAGATGGTATTGGTGCATCACCCAATTCGTCTTCTCAGGTTTCCGATTCTTGCCGAATTCGTGTAGAGAACCAGGATCTTCTTGCACCCTTTCTGCTTGCCGTTCACCATCACCGGCCTCGTCTTTCCGGTTTAGCCACCTCGTTTCTCCGCCTTGTAAGTCGCATTCCGTTTGAATTTCCTCCGTTTTCGTGTTCCGGTGGTGTAGGCCTTTGATGGTCTGTGGAAGAAATGCCTACTCAATCCATCTGTGCTTACTCCTACAAGAAATGTAATCAAACCAAATCCAAAAGAAATCAAGTTAGGTTCACTTAGGTGCAACAAACTTCAATGAAACAATGCATACATACATACGTACAAATTCTGAGCTACCTGGGAGTTTCTCAGGATGGTATAACAAATGCCATCTTCCTTCAATGGTGGGGATGAATTCATCGATCAAAGGGTGAGATTTCATGTCTTTGGCTTCTACTTTAGCTTCAAGGTGTTCTCAGTTCTTGGTCTGTGGGATCAAATTTAACTCCGGCTGGTAAACCTAACCAGTCCTGCAAATTTCATATCATTCAGAATCAAAGTTTCAACTAAAGCGAAAAAGAGAAAACATAAAAAGAAGAAGGCTTTAACAAATTCTTACCGGCTTTCCTTCGAGCTTGTGACCGCAACCAGGGCAGTGCTTTGATCCGCACAGTTGATGCTCTTCGAGCTTCGCATCGATGAGATCGGAGCTGCTGACGGATCCCAGGTTACCCCTGTTCATCTTCTTCCTCTAGTTTCCTCCCAGTTAGCTTCTTCTCTATAACACAACCATAAGCGCCTGTTCGGAAAACACCAAAAACCAATCAAGAAACAAGGAATTGCAAGCAAATTAAAACCCAGATGGAAACTATATATGGTTCAAGAGAATATATCTGTTTCCACTTTCCCTCGAGGAAATGTCACTCAACACCAGAATTCGCTTACTTTAACCGAAGCAAAGAAGGGAAAAGATTTTAATGATATTCTTCTTGCTCAAAAGCTCAAGAACTTGACTAGTAAAGCAAGGAAAAGGAGGAAACGGTCTTCAGAGCTGTTACTTAAGGGTACAAAAACAAAAGCATGGCAAGTTGAGAACCCCCATCTGTATCTATATACTTCAAATATACGTAAATACTTCCCTTTATACTTAAAATATACCCCAAAATAAGTTTTTTTTCATTTTTATATATATATATTGATGATATGTGATAGACGTGGCATTGGAAAGCTTTGAGTAAGGAAGACGATACGCATATGTAATTAAGGGGAAAATTACAGTTCTTTTTGTTCATAATATATATATATATAGGTGATTACAACAGATTAGGGAGAGAGGTATATGAAAAAAGGGTTTAATAAAAGGGAAAAAGCGAGGAGATGAGAAGAGAGGTCATGGGTTTGAGATGGATGGTGATGATTATTCTTTTCACCATTGATGTTATGGTTTGCAGATAGAGAAAGGAAGGCAGACAGAGAGAGAAGAATTACGGCGTTGCTTGATATACAAGGCAAATGAACAGTGATAAACAGTGTGTACTCGTGGCCCACTAACATCTCAAATCTATATAATAAAATCATATACACAGATAGTTATTCATGTATATATAGAAGAAGAAAAAAAAAACGTGTATATACTATTATATATATATATGAAAACTAATTATACATTAAACATGATTTTAAGAAAAAAAATAAAATTTAATATTAAAATAGAACAAAAATAATTTAAATTAAAAATATAGTTTATCTTTTTTGCGGGAAATAACGACGGATTTAGAAATTAGAGCTTTGTTGGCATTAGATTTTCTAGGTTGCTTTGTTTTTCATGTTGATATGTTAATGATCAAGACTTTATAACATTTATGACCGGATTTATTAAATGAATTTAATAGTTAAAGAGATTTTTTTTTTGAAATCTTAAATTCGAACAATGTTTTATAGATTGTGTGCATTATTTACTGTTAAAAGAAATCTTAAAAATATATTTTTAATTGTCCAAATCATTAAAATAAAACTTGTGGTTGGATTTACATTTAAAAGATATTTTTAATACACTAATTGTTTTCTAATAGTTTTATAAAAATATATTTTATAGGACACATATTTATTGATGTGACAGATAGAATTTCTAAGATTTATATTTGTTAAAAGATTCATTTTAAAAAATGATTATACGAAAATACAATTAAATTAAGTTATCTTTAAGTAAGATCAATGGTTCAAACTCTGATATTTGCGATTGGAGTAAACTGTAATAGGAGGGTTGTCTTTGTCTCTGCAATATCCGATATATTATTAAGTAAGCTTTGGTTTAATATTGCTTTTAGGGTTTATTAATGCTCTGATCCTTATACTATTGGAACTTTTAAAATTGAATTCCCTTACTTTTATTTTCAAGAATTTTGTTCTTTTATCTATGTTATTTGAAAATTATAGTCCAATGATAATATTGTAATAATTTCACTATATCTGAAATTTTGACATTGTAATATTAAAAAAAATTATTTAAAAATGAAGTTTAATGTAAAAGCGTTTCAATTCTTAAATAAGACATGAAGCGATTGAATTTTTGAAATAAAAATAGAGGACTAAATTTCAAAAATACGAAGAGGTTGGGAGTGGCGACAGAATTAGACCCTTTTTTGAGCGGTAAGGGATTGTATAATACACTTAAAAGGGCATGGAAGTGGAACAATTATGTGGTCCAATTTCGTAGATCTTTCCGTTGGAAAAGTAATTGGATCAGATTCAACGATGGTCAAGGCTCCACGTAATCATTCAAGTAAACATAAAAATAAAATAGAAATCCGTTGAATGATGAGGGACCCTAAATATGTTTGCAAAACAAATAGATGACCATGCTCGATTGCTTCTTTGACTATTTTTTTAAAATTAATATTTAATATTTTGACGGTGAAACTTTTCCATAGTGATTTTAATATAACGCATTAATTAATATTTAAATAATAATAAAATCATCCTATTAATTGTTAAATTTTAATTTGTGTAATAAATTTAGTCACTAAACTTAAAATATTTTAATTTTTAGGTTACACTTTCGTTGTTAAATTTCCATTATTTGTTGGTAAATCGTTAACCGCATAATTTGACAATTTCTTATCCGTTTTCAGAAAATGACTAATATAATGTGTTTCTAATTAATATTTAAATAAAGAGTAAACTATTTCATTAGTCATTCAAGTTTATTTTGCGTATCAATTTGATCATTAAATTTTAAAACGCTTTAATTTTAGCACTAGATTTCGACATTAATTTCTTGAACACCATTAAATAGTTAATGATATTTTGATGTTCTCGTTTCTTCCTTTTTTTTCCCTTCAAAACATGGCAACTTCTTTTATCATCATTAGTAGTCAATCGTCACCAGTCATCGATCATCAATTCCGATAAGTTTAGCATCAAAATGTTCATATTTCACTCCTCGTTTTTTCTCATTTAATGATTTTTCCCAAAAAACACTCAAAATTAATGAAAATCTAAAAATTTGATGTTAAAGCACTATATCCTCCAATGATCGTCTAGTGAAGCTTTTTTGAGGTATTTTTATTTTCTTGAAATAATGCTTCTCACCCTTCAAATTTTTGTGCAAACACGTAAAACCTCTCAAATTCGAGAAAGTTCCAAATCTTCAAAAATGATTTTTGTGTTAATCAGTTTTAAATGATTTGAGAAAATTTAAACGAATAAAATAGTAAAACATGATGAGACAAGTTACTTGTACTTAGGGTGACTGCAAAAAATGTAGAGATTAAAATTTTTGATGAAAGGATGAAAATCCTCTGATTTTCATGAAAAATATGAGAGATATAATAAATTATTTTTAACTGACACGTCAGCATAAAATTATCATGTCATACGGATGTTAATATTAAACAATTCAGTGCTAAAAAGTCAATGTCAAAAGTTTGATGCTAAAATTAAAGAGTTATAAAACTTAATGATCAAATTGATATACAAATTAGAGTTCATTGATTAATAAGATATTTTTTTAAAAATAAATAATTAAAGACACATTATGTTAAATTAAAGTCGATTGCCAAAAATAAAACTCTACCACCAGTGTATCAAATAATTATTTTATTTTCATTTAATATTAATTTTGTTAAAATATTTTTTTAGAAGAATATGGGTAGGGGGTACGAATGGCAACGGGCGGGTTTTGCTCGCCCCGTCCCCGAACCCAAAATAAATCCCAATCCCCGACCCCGACCCCGACCCGATTCCCGTCGGGTTTTTTTATCGAG